TACAGAAAACGATTAGTGCGCACGTAGTCCAGAGTAGCTACGAAGTATTGTAGCTCTTTTCTAACTGCGTAGTTATTTTCGACGTGCTCCGTCGAGATCATATCCCAAGTATTCAAAGGAACTGTTTACCCGTCCTCAAAGAGGACCGTCAATTAAATGCACTTTCTATCACAACAGATTCTTTGGTACTTTTTACGTGCTCTTAATTATTCGCCAGTGCTCGATGTTGTCGAGCCGATCGAATAACTTGGAAACCCTCCTCCGTCCTTCAATTCGGCCATTGTCCGAGGTCTGTTGACATAAATCCCACGCGCTGAAGATATCCCCCATCCATAAAAAGAAGTCGGCAGTGCTGCTGAAAGGGCAGGTAAATCCGGCCATTGCAACCCGGTTGAAACAAGAAACGACGACGCGCTTGATGGTGGCCAAACACGTACACGCGAGTGTATATCCGTGTCGTCCTGTGCGGGCAGCCCGGGCTAACTTAAGGGGTACCTGTCACCATGTGTAATTATGCACTCTGAACCTTCGATTGTCCGGCGGATATCCCCGATGCACCCATTGCTCAATGTTGTTTGCGCGTGAGCTAAAAACAGCACGCCATAGCTCACCGCAAGTTCGTGTACGTACAACCGCGCGAACATGCCTGGCTATAAATAGAAGATGAATGGATTCTTAAGGACTACCTGATCGAGTAATTGTACAAACAATTTCGAGTACTGCAACTAACTATAGCATAATTGTAAATTATACTTGTATAATGGGCTGTATTAGTTTAAGTTCATTTACTTTACACCGGCAATAAATTGCTCCAGTCCCCCTGGCTGTTCGTTAATCCGGAAAAGGACCGAGATTGCTAGTATTTATCTAAGTAAAGAAAATATAATGGCAGGCAGTACGCGCGAAAACCCAATGGAAAAACCCAAACATGTTGACGTGTGATCAATTTCGAATTTTTTTCTAAATTCAAAAAAATATATACACTTGATATAAACAATAATACAATAATAAAATCTTATACATCTGTCAATTTTTATGCCTACTTTATTCGAATTTTTGAAATTCCAAGTGTAATATATATTTTCTACTCAATTATTTCCTTCCTTTGGCTGTCATTATGTTTAAGCGTATTCATTTGAGAGAGTTATCTACCATTTTTTGTATCAGAATTAAAAAGATATGTGACAACATAAAAGTTACGAAACGTTTGAAATTTTTTGAACGTTCCTAGATTTTTATTTCGACTGTACCCTTTTATGGGATCCCTTCAATTCATGCCAATCCCTAAGCATGTATCTCTTTCGCGCAGAGTTCAGATACGTGCTGGATAATAAACAACGGAAAACACGATTTTAGCATCTTTAAGTAGTCCGCAACCCCTAATCATTTTCAAGTACGATCCCGATTAAATCTATCCAAAAAGGTACATGAAAAACATACAAGCTGTTTACTTCGAAGACAGTATATAACTTGGACTTTTAAGTCTTTTTAAGTCTGCTGGCATATGTAATCTTATCATATACCTACTTTTAAATTTATTCGAATGAACATCAGACACAGACAATTAATTCTGAGTTTTGTATTATACATGTTGTATGTTTCACAGGACGCAGGAAAGCCAATATATAGCGTTGAAACAGTACGTCACAATTTGACAAAGAATACAATGAAATAATGAATTATAACAAATTTTACTTAAAAAAAGCTGTAAGATTTTAAAAATAGACTTCCGCTCTCTAATGGTCAAGCAATGGAACTGATATAATATATTACACAGATTTCTATATTTTCTGCGGATTCACATTTGCAGAACTTTTAACGCCAAGGGTGTCCATCTGGTTTTCATTTCATATCAACATTAACCCACGTCATACAGTACGCGAATATATAAATTAAACTCAGAATTCTGGCGTCGAATGTGCAGTATCAGCAATGTGGATACGGAATACTGCATTTCGAAAAGTAATTTGAATGCTTTTCAAAATGTAAGATACGTAGATATTATAATATCATTCTGTTATTTCGATTGCAATAATACATTTGAGATTCCATAAAATTAAGGTTACGGCATATTTTACGGGCAATCGTTTTTCCCGAAAAGTGGATCTTTCGGGGCGAAAAGAATCATTCCGAGGCCCTAAGTGCGAGACTTTATCGTGTGAAATTGCACATACGGAGAAAATTAAGGCCAAGTGAAAGAAAGCGCTAGCTGCCGGTAACTCGCAACCATTAGATTCTTCCAAAGAGAGGGATGGGGGGAGGGGAGGGGGACAAAGAGGAAAGTATAAGTTCGGACTATCAATTACATCAACCCAATTCCGGAGCTTACTTTACGCCGAATCGAATCCAACCAGCCTGCTAAATTTGTTACGTTAACGAGCGTTGCACTCGTCGAGTTTCTACCGCCACTGTGTGTAACTTTTTGTTTAGTTGGCTATGAAAATAAACGCGAATTACGACGTTCGTTAACTCGATCGGCGGCTATCACGGGTCGATAGTTCGCGTATGCAGCGCACATCTCGCGTTGGCTAAGTTAGGATAGTGCAGTCGTCTATGAAGTTTCCATGAGAATGAACATGTAATTGGATCGTGTATATTTATTTATGTAGTAAATATATTTTATAATTAATATCAGTAATTAATAATTAAAATATGAAGAGCTACACGACTCTTTTCAACTATTTTATTTTTATAGATGTATTTTTTGTTTTACAGTATATAATGCAATATTATTATAACTATTGACGAGAAAAATCTGGTTTAATTTAAAATGTACATCATGAAGAATGTTAATTGAACATTTAACTATATGTGTCTCGTTTTAAAGTCTTAATTTACACGTCCAAGTCACCCACAGAGTTTATTGACTGGATCTATAATTATCACAAATTTCAATGGAAAATATTTTTATTCTAATGAAATGCCAGAATGTATAGAATCGAAATATCGAATATTATAAAAAGATTTTGATAATAATTGAAAAAGTTAAGTAAAAAAATATTAAAGAACAATTTGTGAAAAGAGTGCGATAATCACAGTTTTTTTTTCCAAAAATCACATCTTTATGATAAAAAAAGATACAAATAAAAATAAATAGTATTTTCGAAAGAGGTGAACTTTAAGAAAACAAATACATTATATTAATTTATTTCAGAAAGTATAATTATTTGCATGAGTGAAATGGGGGGCATTTTTATACATGCTCGGAATAATGATATCGAAGATATGTCGAGTATTTTCTTCTTTAAAAATGCAATAAAAATATTTTATATTAAATTTATAATGATTTCGACATTATTTACTCACGATTTTATAACCAAGAAAATAGAGCGATCGTTTCGCCAAGACGCTTCTCTTGCAAAAATGCTTTTTTTTTTACAATAAATATACGTTTATAAGACGCGCGCGACAACATATATACTTGAACATACAGCACTAATAAACATTTACTAAAAATGAATGTTCACTTTCGGCAAAAATCTGTCAAATTTACATTTGACGAATCCAAGTGAAACTTTCATTACATCATAATTAGCATCAAGATGACAACGAAACAATTGCATCACGGCGAATTGCAACGACAAAGAAAGGTTCCAAGTTTTTTTTTATCCCCTCACTTTAACTCTGCAATATTAACCGTACAAAAATTACGGCCGACTAAAATTTTCACTCGGGCCCAAATGACCCACTCATGTAATTGAGGGTTAAGTTTTCACTCTGTCGGAAATTTATATATCAATTATGCAACGTAGATTTCACTGTTGATACGGTATCATAAAGTATTCATACTAACAGATAATCACTTATAATATATATCGTAAATAGAGTTTTCAGAAATATATATATTAAATACATAATTTGAAAAAATAAGAAAAATTACGCATAAGATAATCTTAATTTTTATTTCAAATATATGTATTAATATTTAATATTATCCTACTCTCTGAACGTCTTTGTGCTAACGTGTCTTACCTCACAGATTATCGTTAACATTATTACATAATCTGAAATGTAAGATTTGAGTATTTTGTTAAATACGACAGATAGCATTATTACCATTTTATGAATATATGTTAACGATATTCCAATTTGCTTCGCATCGCATCTTCTATATTAAATTTATATGTCATCGATTTTATTTTTACACTGAGGAAGATCCAAATGAAATGTTAACATTATTACATAATCTGAAATGTAAGATTTGAATATTTTGTTAAATACGACAGACAGCATTATTATCATTTTATGAATATATGTTAACGATATTCCAATTTGCTTCGCATCGCATCTTCTATATTAAATTTATACGTCATCGATTTTCTTTTTACACTGAGGAAGATCTAAATGAAATGTTTATCAATTTTTGCTCAAGAATAAAGTATACGATTTCACACACGTCTAACCTGTATTGGATTGCATTGGCTGATTTACATTTATCCTTGGATTTAATACTACCATTATTGTATAGCATTAATAAAATATATTATAATATGCAAATAATTTTTTAAATCTGTTTTAATTTCTTCTTCCAAGAGGTAATAAGCTATTTTTGAAATTTCTGATATTTAAAAGAATGCACTTTTAGTTGTTTTATTTTATCTTTGATTATCTTTTATCTTAATTTGTGTCAATTTAATACAAATTTCCACGGTATTCACCTCTCTTCTCCCACGGAAGATAACGCGCTTGCGTTTACAGCTTTAAATTACAGATTCAAAGTTGTGTAGCTTCTAAAGATTTTCTGGTTTCTGCATTACTCATTGTTGGTCAAACTAATACGATAAAACTGCCTCACGCACATTCTTTATATTAATATATTATTATTTTTCAATATTTTAATAGAATTTATATTAATTATATATTATACATATATATTTTTAATATAAAATGTATGTAACGGCAGTAGATACTACTACACAGTCGTAGATGGCTGGTCGATAGATGGCGACAGCGGGTTGTCTGACTAGCAGACAGCTGGTGAAAGGCGCCTTTTAACTTGGCGTACCATCGTCGCGGCGCGCGGTACGTTCGCACGGTTGTCCGTTGTGCGTCGTCGTTTCGCGCGTTTTCCCGATTCAATCCCGATTCATAATCGTCCCGTAAAAAAGTGTTGCGCGAAAGAATTTTACAAGTGGCGGCATTTTCAAAAAAATCCCCACCGCAATGCCGCACACGCACGCCTTTCGAAATTCGAGCGTCGACTTGTAACGCGCCGCGTGTCGTTTCGATCTTTCGTGATCCAACAGGAGTACGGAGTGAAAGTTGTGTGAGTGAAGCTGAGAGGAAAAAAGGGAGGGGAAAAAAAAAAGGAAAGCAAGTCGCGGTGACGCGATAGCAAAAAATATACGAATAGTTGGATAGTGAGAGAAAGAAAACATCGCGCGCGCGCAGCATGAGACCGCGCCGGTGGCACGGAGGATCCGCGGAGTTCGGTCGATTTCGCGGATCAGCGTGCAGCGATGCGGTGCTCCGGTGATAAGGGAGGACCAGCGCTAAAGTGTGTTATGCGCGAGTGCGGCCGATTAGGGCCGGGGATAGGGTACTCAGCAGCAAGCCGCCGGCACGAGCATCGTCGTCGCGATGCCGTTTGTGATGCGGAAGGTAGAGCCGCGGCACGTGTGCCGCGGCCACGTGCCGGCGGGCCCGCATCCGGGCTGGCCGGTGGGCGCCGAGCTCGAAGCGGTGGCGAACGGCACCCTCACCACCTCCCTCAGACAGTTGGCCTCTCTCCTCACCGTCGCGGAGGACATCTTCGCGAACCTCACCGCCGAGCTAGCTCAAGTCGCCGAAAGAAGCGGACACCTACGTCATAAGCTCGACAAAGTCGAAGAGCGACTCTGCACCGTTGATCCCAAGAAGATACCAGTCCGTGAGTATTCGGAATCATTTATTTTTTTTTATCTTTTTAATCGGATTAATTGATCGGCTAACAAATACGTTCGTTCAGAGGCTGCGATTTTATCGCTACGTCACTCGTGCCGATACTCGTCCCTACTACAGTGCAGTACTGTAAAAGACAGCAAAATTGGTGCTTGTTAGTTCCTTCGATCGTCGACAGTGATTGCCGGAGTATAAAGTTTAAATTCTCTGAGAATAACGAAACAAGTGAGAAACGACTATATTCCTATGCTTATAGCGTGACCATGGAAACGCTGCTTTAAAGTAGTACTGCCGTTGAATAAAGTTAGAAACTAGAAAGCAAATTGCCCCAGGGGATAGACGCTGTACGACGTACACGCAAACAAAATCAACGCGAGACATACGCTCACATTCAAATTGCTCCAATTTTCTAAGATAGCTCTCGATAGTTGTAATAGGTTTTGCGCCGTCACAATCGGGACAATTCTCCAAAATGTTTACATTTTAATACGTTGCGATCAAATTCAAATTCAATCGACAAGCAGTCGATTGAATTCATTGAGCTAAGAATTTTGACTAGTTTCTATTCTTGTAGATTTTAATTTTTCCACATCTTCCTTTAGCGAAAATTTAATAGAGTATCATTTCTTTTGCGAAATATTTATACATTCTAACTAACTTCTTTCTCGTAGTTTCTCTGTCGTTATTTTTTTCGATTTTTTATTTTTTACCTAAAGAAATGTGAAGAAACAACATCCCCGTTTGATTTTATAGTGCATTCCAGGGGGAAACGAAGATAAATAAGAATATAAAAGGAAAGGAATGCTACGAACAGAATTACGAGGAAAACATTCCGGATTATTACCTGGTCTGTACCGTGGGAAACGGATTACGATGTGTGTCCCGAAACTAAGTTTCACCTGAGCAGGGTATATTAGCTCCTATGAAGGCATAAAGACTTTCTTATTCTCAGTCCTAGTCCTATGCATTTATCTCAGAGACAAAAAAAGCAAAAGACTTAAAAATGTGTGTGCGTGTGTGTGGTGTGTGCGCGCGTGCGTATGTGTGAGGATTACAAGAACCGTTAATGAATCGTTTGAAGATGTCGAACCTATCCACTTCAGTCTCTGAAGTTGTATTAGAGGTAGATAATGTCTGAGAATTAAGAATTTTTAAGAACCTATAAAATATCTATAGAATGACATCTTCAAACGTGTACATTCCATCTAAAAATTCAAAAAAAAATATATATATAAATTGTTTATCTATGTACATATCAAAGATTTAATAATGGATCAAGTTGTAAGTTATAAATCTTGTATACAGTGGTTAAAAACATGAAAATATAGATTTGAAATACATATAATAAAAGAGTTACATTAAAATCCTCGAGCAACAAAATTAAATTTTTTTTACATCAAATAAACATTCTTCCTATTTACGACGTTTAAAAGTCTATAAAGAAATAGTAAGGCGTTAAAAATTGGATAATCTCGAGCTGTAACTTTGTTAAAGCCCTTTCGTTGAATTTAACGTTTGAAAGAATTAGTATTATAAATTCTGGTCATGCCTGAATGCGGCAGCGATTGAAGAGCGCAATCGAAAGGCTAAAGGAAAAAGTTTTCACCGACCGAAATTGCTTTAGCTCTAGTTTAAGTATCATCGACGCCGGCGGAAAATTAACGTCAGGTTTGAATCGGAGCCACTTTTTACGACGCACGCGATCTCCGTTACTCCGAATAACCATAAAATCAAGAAAATCACGATTTATCACCACGCGATTTTGCCGTGAAAACAACGATGTGCTTTTCTTCCCAAGATCAAGTCTTATATAAGTTACAAATGCTATAGAAATGCATTAGAAATTAAATAAGAAAAGAATATCTTTTTTTTTTTCAATATCTTTTATGTCTATTTATATTAAATCTGAAAACGCACCACACTCATATATTTCTTATCATATTATAATAAAATTAAATTAAATCTTTGTAAATAATTAAATCCTCCTCCTAACTTCTGTCTAAGATCAGAAATCATAATTATATCGGGTTGAATGTGAAACAAAAAAAATTGTTGCCGTAGACGAAATACATATCGGGTTGAATGTTCTATCGATACATACAGCTGAGGCTTCTTTTTCCCGATCGAGGGAGGAATCTTTCACCTTTAGGGATCGTTCATTGGGCCTCGGAAAGAAGGCCTAGGAAAGATCCCGTGTTTTTTCCAGCCTCTCGTACCGCCAGTCCCGAGTCCTGCAAAGATGCTACACCCTGAGACAGCTGACTCAGGTAATCGGCCGCACAAACGGCGCCGGGCCTCGGATTCTTCCCCGTGGGTTCCCGGTGGGAATTTTAATTCCCAAGGGTGAAACAGGCTCCGTCGCCGCCGGGAAGAAGCAGATAAAATAACGTCTGCCGGGTGTAATTTAATACCGGTGTGCGCGTTTATACGTCTCGATGTATTCGAATGTATTCGATTTGTGAGAGCGATGTTCGCTTATCAAATTTATTTTCAAAAATATTTTTCTCTTTGATTTCTCTTTGATACTTCACTTGATACAAACACAACGTAGTATTTTTAATTGTGTAATATTTTTAATTATCATTTACATGGAATTAATATGTACCAAAATGCTTTAAAAGATTATTAAGGCATCGTTGCGACACACGATTTAATAATTTATTACGTCCGCTAGATAATATTCCTATGCGCCGCCGACATTTCACGTAACTTCTCTTGAAGCTGCACGAGACCTGCGAGCAGCGCGGTTGAAAGTATAGCTAGCCTTGAACCTTCAGGCTCAAGTAAGTATCTCGCCAGGGATATCACGGATTCTGGCGAAATCAGAATTTACGTTCTCGAGGGGACATTGAAGTCGAGATGAAGAAAACGGAGGGATAAAAGAGAGAAGGAAAAGGAGGGACTATTGACATAAACATATCACATATTACATAAATAAATAATTTTATGGATACGTGTGTACAAATACTTAATTTTAGATTCGCTAAGAGTTTCTCCTAAATACATATACTTGCAAACACATGTCTACAAGATTCCATTTGAAATTGATTCCAAAAAGAAATATTCAAGTTAAAATTACCAGCGATATTTTTATTACATAAATATATTATCAAATACAATACTCTCAAGAAAGTTAACGTTTAATCGAATAGTTCAACTTAGAATTAGCAGAAACAAGGTATGCAAATCTTTATCTTTCCTTTAGTTACCTAAACGCAACAGTACAACAGGACAAATGAACTGTTTATATGTCAACAATAAGGCTCGTATGAATAGTCAGTTAGATAAATGTGTATAAATTCAGGAAATCATAATATTGACATCGGAAATCTAATATCGCTAATGCGGTTCTGTAATATCGTTTCTGTCGAGCGCGTCGAGAGGATAGCAGTCGACTGGCTTCTGCGGAAATGGCTATACGCAGGATGTGGTTCGACCTGGTCGAGCAGGTTCACAGCACTCCGAACTGCGAGCGAACGGTTAGTTTGATAGGCTTCCCATTGAAAAGAGCTATTCAGTCTTGAGAAAAAAACATTTTTCTCTCAATTCTGTATTAATTGACAACAAATACCTGCTCTTTTTGTATTTGGAGAAACTTGTTATTACACAAAGAGACACTATAGCAGCGTGACGAAACAAATGATTCTTTTTAGACATTTACTGGAATTTTGTCATGTATTCTTTTGTGAACATATTGACTTTCACTTTTCAAATACTACATTTAAAAACACAACAGTAATTGTTTTTATCGCATTATTGTTTTTCTTGAGGATGAAATACTTTATACAAGGGAATGTTTGAATAAAGTTTACTTTCACACACGTTTTAGTATTAACCAGATTTTGATTTAGTATTAAATATGAAACTGCGCGAAACCGCTCGCTTTCCCTTCGGTAAATATGATATTTCAAATTTACTGTTGCCCCTTTAGGCAAATATACGAGAACCTTGTAATCAAACCTCTGCTACCTGCTTAAATAATCATATTTTAATGAAGGCACTAATTCATAAGCACGTTCTGCAACGTTTCCTCTTTTAAATTCATAATAAAACATGGAAATTTTATGTGGCTGCGGTATTTATGTGAAAAAACACATGTCTGATTTTTTTTAATCATAAAGGATTGATGTACTTTAATAAGTATAAATTAGATTATACAAGATGCCCAATTATACAAGAATGTATCTGATAATTTTTTTAATTCCATTTTTTCTCTGAGAAATACAGTTTAACAATTTTTTTTATAAAGTAACAGTGCTTAAGAATTATTATAAATGTATGGCTTACAAAATAGAGTAACAGATATGACTTCACATTCTGTTAATGCACAATCTATTATTAACGAACTTGTTTGAAATCTATTGATCGTTGTACACTTTTTTTTCTGGTAACGTAAAATTTTATACTATTGCTACCTGAGAATTAAAGAATTAAAAAATTTCTCGCGTCAGCTGTTTTACTCGAAATTTTCCCCTTTTTACCCTATGCACCCCACTATGAATATATCACGGACCCACGTGATGCACGAATAATAACGACGCGGACGGAAATAAAAGTAGGCCGCAACGGTCCTCGTCTGCAGCTTCGTCTCTGAGTTTTCACCATCCCTCGTCGTTGCCTCCTTTATTTCCTCATCCGGCTTCTTACTCTTACTTCCGGTTGCCAGCTGGCATCGAAGAATAGGAGGGGGCTCATCGAGGGGTGACGCAGCACAGGAGAGGTAGGCATCTAGGCAAGGCAAGGGGACTTTCCCGCTTAATTTTAGTTGGCTTGACACCGAGGCACGTGTTCTGAATAAAACTGCTCTTTACCGCGTTAGAGTACATCGTTATGAAAAAAGTTTGTAAGCGATAAGGTTTATCCGCTCCTTATAAATATCGGCAAAATATATATTGACTTATCTATGGCGAAGCATCGTCGAAAAGCAAAAAAGTTTGAAGATGTCTGGAAGAGAACTCCATGAAAATTGAGTATATTAAAAAATACTGT